TGCCTAATGCAAGTATAAACTGCTTTGTGGTTTGTTCAGTTCAAAGTTCCTTAAGAAAGAAGACCTCTTGAAAAGTTTTCTCACTGACACCACTGGGGTAAGCAGACTTCCTGTTGGCACTCGATTCATGCTCCAGGAAGGGTGGGTGTATGGCCAGGAGAAGTCGGGAGCTAGTACAGTTAGACGCCTCCCGGACACTGCTGGCTCCTTGTTGTGTGTGATACCTGCCATTACCATCCCCTTCCTCCAAACTGACCTCACACCTGCCCTTGGATTTGGTGCTGGCGGTGGGGGTGTCTTCTGAAGATGGTGAGGAGGTTGAAGATGATTTTCTGAACTCTAAGGAGGTGGTGGTGAAATAGGCAGTGTAGGAAAAGGCGAGGACTGTGGGTAAACTGTTGTCTGACTGTCTTATCTTACTGAATACCAGGACTACAGGTAGACAACACTATTGCAGGCGGGGGGGGCCCCCAAACTGTCTGACTATCTGATCTTACTGAGTACCAGGGTTACAGGTATACATCACTATGTAGGTGGAGGGGGGCTGCTTGTTCATTTCCTGGCCACCCAGACCTGAAATAATCACACAGAAACTGTATTAATTAAAACACTATCTGGCCAATGACTTTAGCATATTTTTAGCTAGCTCTTACATCTTAAATTCACCCATTTCTATCAATCTATGTATAGCCACAAGGCTATGGCCTACCGGTAAGGTTCCCAAGGTTCTGGCGTGTCTTTCTCCTTTGGAAGTTACAGGGTATCTCTCTGACTCCATCTACTTTCTGCTTGGAATTCCTGTCTTGCTATATTCTGCCCTGTCGTGGGCTAAAGCAGCTTTATTCATGAACTATTGGTAGCAAACCACATTTACAGCATACAGAGGGGACTCCTACAGTATCACTACGCCTTTTTTTTAAAATAGATGCTGGGTATCTCATCTATGTGTACACAGTAAGCAGTCTACAGCCCTGGAGCCATCGTCTCAGAACTGACATGTGTATCTTTGCATTCCCACCAACTGGTTGAATATGCTGGATGATCAGACGGATACTCTGAAGGATAAAGCAGTTTTCATTTGAAATTTTTCTTCTTCCCGAAAATTCTTCAGTGTCTGTATAACCCTGCCATGCAAAAGTTTTGCGTCCCCCTCGGCTGTTGGCTATTTCCTTCTGTCCCAATAGGCTCCGCTGTAGCTCTTTCTTGACCTATTGACCTACCAGGTGAACGTAGGGAGACAGCTACTCCCAGGGCCTTTGCTGAGTTATCAGGTGTTGGATGTGCCTCTGTAACCATGACAACTGTGCGCTTCCAGAAAAGACGATTGACTGTCACCACGTTGGCTGACCCCACCACTCACTGGCTAGCATCATGCTAGGTGCTTCTCGTGTTCTAGAGACAGCGGCATTGTGGCCTTTTCCAAATAGAGAAACCAAGGCCCTAATGGGTGGATTGGGTATCTTACCCAAGATCAAATGACTAGTTGAAAACGGGTATGGGCCAGGGAGGGGTCAATCAAATGATAAAGAACAAATCTGGATCCGAATCCAGGTGTCTCTTGAAGTCGAGATGAACCCACTCTCCTTCCTTCCATATAACACACACTAGCATTTACTTCAAGTTCCCCGGCTTCCCTAGGCTTAACCAGCTCACCCTGCCCATTGCTTAATATGGATCATTCCCTCCACTTCTCCAAGGGAAAGAGCTAGAGGTAGAAGCTGAACTTCAGTGTGGAAGTTAGCCTAAGTAGATGCTAGAGAAACGGGGTATGTCACATGAAAAGGGATACCTTGGACCAATGTCGGACCAGAGGCTGGAGAGTCTTGGAGCAGGTTTGGGTAAGCAGTTTAGAAGGAATAAGAATGAGTGTTTGGGAACATACTTTTATGTGTTTGGGGGAAAATATGGATGGGCTCCAAGGGTCAAGCTGTACCAGTTTTGGGGACTGGTGGATATTCCCTCTTTACTGTGAGTTCCACACTAATGTAAAACATGGGAGAAGTTTTCGGTCAGAGCAAGTCCAACATGACATGGGGGCTGGGAGGCTCCCAGCTCTGGAATTTAGGAGTACCAAATTAATTTCTCTTAACTCAATTCAATTATCAATAGAGAAAATGGTACCTACTTTATGGGTTACAAAGGCCACTAAATGAGATTCTGCAGAGGAAGCATCAAGCGCAAAGTGCACAAGTTGGTGTTTGTTAACAACGATCTTCACTTCATCTCTGGTAGTCTGAATATTAAATGCTTTTCTGAGAACCATCAGCTAGAGACTTGGTCCCCAGGGAATTACTGTGGTGAGGCAGTGGAGCCTAAATGGGAGGTCTTTAGGTCTTTGGAGCCGTGCTTTCAAATTATATTATGTGATTTTGGCCCTCTCCACTTTGATTCCTACAGATGAGGTGAATGGTTTTATTTTCATACATATGCCCACCATGCCATGATGTATACGTTTAAGACATGGGGCCAGTAGACCAGGGACCGAAATCCCCCAGACTGTGAGCCACAGCAGCCCTTTCTGCTTTTTGTAACTTGTCTCAGGCATTTTGTCATCATGCCAGAAACTTGGCTTCTCTCTTTGCTTAATCACTTGACTAATTCTATCCTTCAGTTGTTTTATATAGTAGAGCCCTGTCACTAAGGTATAAATCCCATCAGGGAAGGGTTATGTCTGTTATTTATTTTGCTTCTTGATTCATTCATTCATTCTTCATTCATTCATTCATTCATCACATGCCATTTGCTTCACAGCTGATACTGTGGAGCTGAGTACTTGGTAGAAATAATGAACAGTACATGTGTATTTATTTTAAAAAGGTCTTTGGCGGGCAGTCAACATGGGAGGCTATGGCACAGCCCATTTGCACATGGAAGATGGTGCCTGGGAAAGATCCAGGAGCACATGGCACTGTACAATTCTGGATCCTCACACAACAGTTCAGAGAAACCATTCCTAGGAGAACTCCCCTTTCCTCTCATTGGTGATTGAACACATAGCCCCAACCTCTACCCTTGGCATTACCCCTTCTTGCCTTTTACACAACTCTTTGAGGAGTAAATAACTCAATCTATTTAATCTATAAACTGGTAGAAATTTCAGTTGAAAACGATTTTTCACTCAGAACAGCAATTGATACATATTCACTTATGAAGGTATTTAAAAAAAAAAACAAACCAAGAACAATCGGGACATAACACAATTAGAATATTGATCTCTCTGCCCCGTAGAGTGCTCACAGTCAGAACTTTGAGAGCAGACAACATTCTAGAATGTATGTACCATGTAAAGGGTGTAGCGGGTGCCCGAGATGGGATTGTTGCATGCCAAGATGGGATTGTTGCATGCCAAGATGGGATTGTTGCATGCCTGAGACGGGATTGTTGCATGCCTGAGACGGGATTGTTGCATGCCTGAGATGGGATTGTTGCATGCCTGAGACGGGATTGTTGCATGCCTGAGACAGGATTGTGGCAAGCCTGAGATGGGATTGTGGCAAGCCTGAGATGGGATTGTTGCACGCCTGAGACGGGATTGATGCATGCCCTGTCAGTCTGTCTTCTGCCTTTCTAATGTCCACTTTAGATTCCACTACTTCCCTTCTGTGAATTCATTAACAGAAGAGAACTGTCTGTGTGGAACTGAAGCCAAGGATGGCTGTGCGTGGGACTTGAACTCTTTCCTAAGTGTGTGTGGGCATGTGTAAACGATTGCAGGCCTTCCAGAGTAGAGGAAGGTATGTGTGCCCTTTAGACCCTCCCCAGTGGTTGCTCCCACATCCTAGCTCCAGCCCACTGTTTTAAGCTCCTCTCACTCCCACTTTCAGTTCTCTCTTCTCTCTGGACCACTCTGAGCTACAAGGAGCTTAGCGGCATCACCTCAAGAGAAGTCAGTTTGGGAGATCTTTGCTGAGCCAGCACATCCACCCACAGGCCTTGGGCGGACACGGACTGCAGATGTCCAGGGTTGTGGTGGACATCACACTATAAGAAAGGAGGAACCACGCCAAGGACATTGTGTTCCATCTATAATCAAATCCCACTACATGGTGAATTCTTTAATTCAAAAGATCGAATAGGATGGTACTTTAAAAAGAACTCCAGCTGGTTGAATTTAAGGCCTGACAAAACTCCAGTCTAATAATACCTCCTGGCCCCGCGCCGGCCACATCCTTCTGCTGGGGAACTGGCTGGGCTTTCAACCACTTTGGGCTGCATCTCAGTGTGATCGGCAGTGAGATGCTTTCTCTGCATTGGCCTTGACACTGTGAATCACTTAATGAAATGAGCTCTCTGCCGACGCCCCGCGGTTGTATGAACGACCCGGCGGCCTGTGCTTATGGATGCATCTTGGGGTTATTGCATCAGAGACCTTGCTATATTTGTAAGTGGTTTGGCCTCACTCGTGAACCTGGGGGTTCATCCCTATGGTTTCACCGAGTCCATAGATCCTTTCTTTTGTTTGTAAGATATTATTTGCAGGTGGAATGTTCACCCTTCCTCTGGTTCTTCCTTGAGATATTTTCAGGACATTTAGTGGTGTTTTCCTTAATTTCCTTAATTTCACTCACAAAAACAAATCAGACAGCACTTAAGGAAGGCCTTTCATGAGCAGGGCACTCTGTCAAGTTGCTGGGCTGAAAGAGCATGCCGGGAGAGTCTCAGTTCCCTGGATTAAAACGCTGACCACACAAAGCACTTCCCACGTGCCTCCTGCACGACCCTCTGTCCCTCCTGTGAGTGTACCTTGATTGACTTTGGGCCTCTCGCTTAGAAATCTCAAGCCACCAGCATCCTTGAGGTTTCAGAAGGACCAAGAGAGCCAGTGGGGACTGAGAAGATGAAACAAATGACCAAGATCGTATATTCAACAAGAACCAGACCCAGAAAGAAAGCAGGTGAACCAAGGGGAGAGTAGCAGTGGATGAGAGGGCTCTGAAGTGTGTGTGTGCACACACACGTGTACACACGCATATTGTGAGTAAAAAGAGGCAGAGCTGGAATACCTGGAGCAGGCACAGTGAAATTTAATATCCTGGGGTTCTGTCATTTAAGCTGGTACCTGGGGCTCATGCTCAGCCCCTGAGGTCACATGCCCAGTGCCTACACTAAACATACACTGGTTCATATCCAAGCTCAGGACTCCTTCCAGTGTCTCTCTTACCCTTGTCAGTTCCACAACCACCCTTCTTGGCAGGTTGTTGTGCCATCATGAAAGGTCAGGCCTTGGGATTTTAGGGCGCCTGTGAAAGGCATGTAACCAATTTTGCTATTTAATGGTTGTTGTTAGCGATACTTTCAAACCATCAAATAAAACCAGTGTTAGGAATTTCAAAGCAGGGAGGTGCTGGCCACACTCCCGTCACAGAGTACCTAGACGTTCGCTGGGTTGGGATTATGAACACAGCTGAAATGAAGACCAACGGTCCCTTGGCTGCCCCGTGTGCCCCCACCCCCGTCCCCTGTCTTAGTCTCTTCTCATTTTCCCAATACCTTGACAGCCAGAATAATGCCAAGGTTAAGGGGACAGAGGTGAGGATGGAGGAGAGGCCCAGCTGCAAAACAGGCAATGCTTTTGTTAACGCCGTGGAAGCTTCACGTTCACGTTATCATAAAATCCTCTGGGTTTGCTTGATGCTGGTTGAGTTCTGAAGACCATAGAGCGTTCAAGAAAGCCAAAAATAGAAACTGGACAGTCATTGATCTCCATGGCAGGGCCAGCGGCAGGCCTTCCTCATCCAATTTCCCTCGTTCCCAGGGAGCCACAGGGAGTAAAATCGAATCTGATTGCTGCATTTCAGAATTTGCTCAGCGGCCATAAAAATGCACTCCGAGTGTCCACATATTTGATCAATTTGCTTTTATCCTTTAATCGAATAAGACTCAGACCTGCAATCAGAAAGGGAAGCATATTGAGAAGCATTTTATTTCTCTAGTGATTCATCCAACAGCAGGCTCACACTTGACAGGATGGGAATAAGGTATTTAATGCGGGAATAATTTTTTATGACCACATCACAAGGGGCTGGAATGACTTTTAAAGTACATCATATTTTAGCCACAAACACACATAAAGTATGCTTAAAAATCTTTGCAGAATGATTGAGCTGGAATGTAAGGATTATACACCGTTATCAAGAAAGGGGAGTCTTGCTTTGTTCTTTGCTGGGCCGTGACCTCTTCTGTTCTTGGTTAGTCTGACAGACAGAAAGGAGGGTTTTTAAAAAGTCTGTCCAAAATGGAGTCTTAGAACGCCAGATGTTCAAGGGCGCTAAAATTGGCAGTGTTGTAATCTTCTGCTGCTCCAGTGCTGGAAGAGAAGGTCCCCTCGAAAGGGTCAAGACTTGTAGGAAGCTGAGCCGTCTGCAGAACATGAGGACATTCCAGAGACCAAACACGTGGTCACTGCCTCCCTTTGGCCTGCCTCAGGCCCTAAACTCTGTGTCCTCTGTGGAGAGAGAGAAAGGAAACTGTTCCTCTAGTTCCCCTCAGCCCCAATTAGGGTTCTTGTCACCTTCCTCCCAGCTGTTATATAATCTGGGTTTGCAGGAAGCAGAGAAGTGGGAGAGGGGACGGGAGACGACTAAGGGAACAGCGGAGCATAACTAGATATCAACATGTAGAAGAATGAAAATAGATCCATATCTATCACCATGCACAAAACTCAAGTCCAGATGGATCAAAGACCTCAACATAAAGCCAGCCACACTGAACCTCATAGAAGAGAAAGTGGGAAGTACACTTGAAAGCATTGGCGCAGGAGACCACTTCCTAAATATAACCCCAGCAGCACAGACACTGAGAGAAACAATTAATAAATGGGACCTCCTGAAACTGAGATGCTTCTATTAAGCAAAGTACATGATCAACAAGACAAAATGGCAGCCTACAGAATGGGAAAAGATCTTCACTAACCCCATATCGGACATAGGACTGATCTCCAAAATATACAAAGAACTCAAGAAACTTGACATCAAATGAACAAATAATCCAATAAAAAATGGGGTACAGACCTAAACAGAACTCTCAACAGATGAATCTCAAGTAGCTGAAAGACATTTAAGAAAATGTTCAACACCTTAGCTGTGAGAGAAATGCAAATCAAAACAACTCTGAGATTCCATCTTACACCTGTCAGAATGGCCAAGATCGTAAACACTGATGACAGCTTATACTGCAGAGGATGTGGGGTAAAGAAAATATTCCCCATTGCTGGTGGGAATGCAAGCTTGTACAGTCCCTTTGGCTATCTATGTGGTGATTTCTCAGAAAATTAGTAAACAATCTACCTTAAGACCCAGCAATATCACTTTTGGGTGTATACAAAAAGGATGCTCAACCATACCACCAGGACATGTGCTCAACCTTGTGCATAGCAGCATTATTCGTAATAGACAGAACCTGGAAACAACCTAGATGCCCCTCAATCGAAGAATGGATAAAGGAAATGTGGTACATTTACACAACGGAGTACTACTCAGTGGTAAAAAATAATGACATCTTGAAATTTGCAGGCAAATGGATGGATCTAGAAAAAAAAAACATATTGAGTGAGCTAAGCCAGACCCAGAAACACAAATATATGTACTCACTCATAAGTGACTTTTAGACATAAAGTAAAGAAAAACCATCCTACAGTCCACAATTCCAGAGAACCTAGACAACAAAGAGGACCCAAAGAGAGACATACATGGATCTACATAGGAAGGGAAAAAAGACAAGCTCTCATCAGTAAGTTGGGAGCATGGAGATCATGGGAAAGGGTAGCAGTGGAGAGGGGAGGAAGGGAGGAGAGCGGAGAAAAAGATGTTTAGTGCAATAAAATTTTTTTTTAAAGTTTTTGAGGAGGCTGGGTGTGTGGGGAGAAAACATGAGCTTTGGAGCTGGACATGGGTCGGTCTTATCTGGGGGTGTGGGGAGGAAACATGAGCCTTGGAGCTGGACATGGGTCAGTCTTATTTCTATCGCAGCTCCATGGTGTGATGTGGGTTCATATTCTTAACCTATCAGAGCTTCAGCTTCCCAGTTGTAAAACAAAAACATAACGTCCGCTACAATGGGTTATCATAGCAGCTAATGAGAGGTGAAAACTAAAGCTAGAATTACGATGGAAAGCTGGATGTGAGGATGCTTGTTTGTAGTCCCAGCACTTGGAAGGTGAAAATGGGGCGGGGGGGATCAGCAGTTCAAGGCCAGCCTCTGTTACATAACGAGTTCAAAACCAGCCTGGGCTACGTGAGACTCCATCTCTAAAGAACAGCAACAACAGAAAGGGTCTACCATCTTATCCAACTGTACCACTGCTGGCTGCATACCTGAAGGAACCCGAGCAACATAAACATAACTGCACACTTGATGTCATGGTACTCTTCACAACAGCCTGGCTATGGAATCAGTCTAAACGTTCATTAAAGATAAATTAATAAAGGAAGTGTGCTAGAAGCACACAGTGGGATATCATGCAATCATAAAGAAGAACAAACACAAATGATTTGTGAAGAAAAAAAATGAATGGATAGAAATGAAAATCACCGTGTAAAATAAAAGAAGCCAGAGTCAGAAAGACAATCCGGCAGGTTTTCTCTCACATGCGGAATCTAGATCTTTTTCTTGAAGATACTGAAGTAGAAACAGGACCATTGAGAGGAGGAAGACGGTCAGCTGAGTTAGTCAACTGTGTCTTTCCTGATGGTTCACTGACAAGTGTTATCACCGCAGTGGAATGCCCCTGTCTCCCTCGTGTTACAGGCTCTATTTCTCCTTCAGTTCCAGTTTTTGACCCATATATTTTGGCACCACAACATCAGGGCATTCATAACTGCTGTGTCTGCCAGCAGGACCCCCCGTGCTAGCTCTCACAGGACCCCGGACTTCTGACAAGTATGTCTCACCATCCCAAGCATGTCCCCTGTGATGGCCCTCACGGCTGCATCATGCTCTCTATTGAGGAGAAAGAAGTGGCACCTCTCTCTCTCTCTCTCTCTCACTTCTAACCTACCAGGTTCTTTATGTTTCAAGGGGATTTTTTAAAAATCATGACTACATAGACTCAAGTCTTACTTAATAATTCACCTTGACAATCTGTCTTTTTAATATGTAATTTTAAACTTATTTTTTGAGAATTTCATACAAATGTATGATGTATATTGATTTATTCACTTCCTACTTCCCCCAACTTTCCTAGATTCCTCACATGCCTATCTCTTCCTAACTTCATCATTATTTCCTCTTCCTCAGCCCCTTCTTCTAATTATTTTTTATGACCTTATGTGACCAATTAGAGCAGCCTATATATGCATAGCTATAGGGCCATCCACTGGTCTACCAATGATCACATACCTTTCCCAAAGAAAAATAGTTCCCCCACCTCCACCCAGGAAGGGGCCTGTGAGGCTCTCCCATATCCATGCTGGAATTCTGATGTGGAGTCTTGATCACCAATTTGGTTTGATATCTAGGATCCAATTCTGTGATCTGGCCATCCTGTGTCTGTGTAGTTGGAACAGTTCTGCCTCTCTTCCTCCAATAGTGGGGCCAGGCTCCTTCTAATGTCTTGTGCCAACAGTGGTCCTAACAGCAGGAACGAGCATGTACAGAACCTCTTGAGAGCTGGCTCAGAGCATCTCCCTCATTCTGTGGATCACTGTAGATCTCCACAAAGCTAGACTAGACTAAGGGGCAGTGTGAAAATAGTTTGCACCTTCCAAGAAGAAGAGCTAAGAAATCACTTTCGTATGGCCCCAAGTTCCTGTATTGCTACTTATTTAATGCTTTTTCCCCCTTGTCTCTGCTGGTTTCTTCAGACCATCAGACCTCTTGTTTCCTTATGTCTCCCTCCTGTTTTCTATCTATTTCTTTCAGAGAAGCAGCGGGTATCTTGCCTGTACTTTTAAAATGCATTTTAACCCTTCACTTCCAACCCTTCTCCTGATTTTCATTTTCTTCCCTGTCATCACGGTCTCTGAGACCTTTGCTTTCTTGCTCTGAATGTTACTTTTCTGCAGCAAATTCTTGAAGACAGGGTGACTCATCTGACAGGGGTTCAGCTTAGCGTTGATCTGTTTATAAAATATTTTCTGCTCCTGGAAATTGATCATTATCCTTGAGGTTCATCTTCGTTTTTTCTGTTCATGGTTCTGGATTTCACGTGGAAAAAAAAAATCTTCTTAACAATGAGGCTAAGGAGATGGCTCAGTCGGTAAAGTTCCTACCATGCAAGGAGAGGGACCCCAGTTTGGATTCCCCACTACCTACGCCAAAAGTCAGGTGTGATGTTGCGCGTCTGGAACTCTAGTGCTGTGGTGGGAGGTGTCAGAGACAGGAGGATCCCTGGAACTTACTGGCATAGTCAAATTGGTGCACTCCAGGTTCAGTGAGAACCTTGTCTCAAAACCTAAGATGGAGAATCATTGAGAACAGTACTGGATGTCAGCCTCTGGTTTGCAGATGTACAGGCACACAACATGCACAAACATGTAATATGGTAAATTTTCTCTCTCTCTCTCTCTCTCTCTCTCTCTCTCTCTTCTCTCTCCTTAAAGGTCTCAGGAACCTTAGTAGTCTGTCCATACCTAGAACAAGTCCTTGTACTTGAATGAGAACACCTGTTGTAGGCTTCACAGCATAGGAGAGAACTAAGGCACCCAGCTAATTGGAGTGATGCCCTAAAGGTCAATTAACGTAGATCTACACTGCACACATTGATTTCCCCAAACTCATTTAGGCCCTTGGGCCTTTACACACGCCACTTTATATTTGAAACAGGGTCTTACTCTGTAGCTTTTACTGGCCTGGAACTCGCTCTGTAGACCAGGGTGGCCTCAAACTCACGGAGAGCCTGCCTCTCCCTTCTGAATGCTGGGATTAAAGGTGTGTGCTGCCAGGCCTGGCTGTTTTTTCTTTCTAACCTCTCCCCTTTCTCCATCCATCCAATGCCAACTTCTATGTCAGGTTTAAGCTGAAATATCTTTTTTGTTAGAAATATTTTTTAGATCCCCAGGCTTGGTTTTGAGCCTTTATGATAAATTGTTACAATACCCTGTCCTTGAATCCCTAAATGTAATTTAAATAATTGCTTCATATAAACATCAATCTAATGTCTCTCTTCCTGACTAGGCCGCCGTCTTCCTGAGGGCTAAGCTTTTGTTGAGTTTCTCTCCACCGTACATCAGACACCTAACAGTGTGCCTGGCATGAGACTAGGCTGAAGAAATTAATATATGAACATATAAACTAAATGACCTCCTAAACATCCACATCTTTAAGGCATAATGGAGACGAAAAGTCTGATTTTACCTTAGGGCACAATTTTCATATTTCTCAACAGGTCCATATTGCCCCCAGTTAAAACATACAAAACCTTCTTCAGGAGAGAGAGTACCCCCTTGGAAAGTTCTGGTAAGTCAGAAGACTGAGAACACTGTGTAGGTTGCATCATAAAGGAGCCAATTTTGACCTGTCCCCAGGACAACAAAGTCTGTTAAAATCACACAAGTCAAGAGAAAGGCCACAATGGCTGACCAGAGAAGCAGCCTGTGACCTTGCTCAGCCTAGAATATAGTAGGGAGGGCCTTAAACCTTCCCCAAAACAATGTGCCTTACCCTCTCTGAGGAGTAGATGTGGGGGAGGTGGGGGGAATGGGAAGAGGGAAAGGAGTGGGAACTGGGGTTGGTACGTAAAATGAAAAAAGATTGTTTGTTTTTTGTTTGTTTGCTTTGTTTTTTATTTTTCGAGACAGGGTTTCTCTGTAGCTTTGGAGCCTGTCCTGGAACTAGCTCTTACAGACCAGGCTGGCCTAGAACTCACAGAGATCTGCCTGCCTCTGCCTCCTGAGTGCTGGGATTAAAACCATGTACCACCACCACCCGGCTTCTTTAAAAAAATAAAATAAAAAAAAGATTTTAAAAAAATAGCCTTTATAGAACAAAGTTGGGCAAATTCAACGGATTCCTCTGAGCTTCAATTCTCACTGGCTGAAATGATAGCACGCATTTGGGCTAGTGCTGTATTTCAGTCTCTGGCCTAAATAACTGCCTCCCTAAGTATTGTGATGGTTAATCTTAAATGTCAACTCGACTGGATTTAGAATTTCCATGGAAATGCATCTCTGGGTGTGTCTATGAAGATATTTCCGGGAAGGCTTAACTGAGGAAGGAAGACACACCCCAAAGTGGGCAGCACCATCCCAGTGGGCAGCATCAGCCCATGAGCGAGTGTATCTCAGACTGATTGAAAAGAAGAGAAAGTGAGTTGAGCACAGATCATCACTTCTGTCTCTCCTTCATGAACTCGATGTTTCTCTCAATCTCTGGCACTGTTTCCACTCTACAGCAATGGACTAAATCCTCCAACTGGGAACCAAAAGAAATCCTTCATTCCTAACGTTGATTTTGTCGGGTGTTCTTTGTTGTTGTTTTAGAAAGATAAGAAACAAGTCCTTAGTGTTGCACCCTTCCCAACACCCCCTTGAGGTGTACGCAAACATCTTCAGTATCAGGTACGTTTTATCAGTGAGGCAACTGGTGCTCAGAGAGACTGATGAACGCACCCAAGGCCACACAGCAACTAATTGGCAAGGCTTGTATTTTAACCAAGTCTTCATGCTAGAATCTGGGTTCTGTGTTGTTTTTCCCTTTACTTCTTGGTGGTGGTACAGACTTTTAAAGACATTGCCACGAGGCGGGCAGAATGACAAAGCTCATAAAACAGTATCTGATGCACAATAAATTTACTGCAGTGTTTGCTCTTCCTATTGTCTATGCTTCACGTTTTTGTAAAAGGTATAATTACTGCGTTCACATATTATGTATACAATTAATGTTCAGGGTTATTGTGAAGTATACATGAGTCTGCATATGAGAGATTTGGCATTTTACAGTCTAATGCCTGCAACTTCAGAACCATTCCTAGTAGTGCTTGATGTGGGATTTCCCTCTGTCTGCTGTAATTACCATTGATGAATAAAGGAACTGCTCTGGGCCTATAGCAGAGCTCTAGGGGAACAGAGCTAGGCAGGGAAAACTAATTTTCACATAAACTATGTTACTATAAAGCATAAGCCTGTTGCTGTCTGTAGCTTATAGTCTGGTGGGTCGGAAAGATGGATTTGTCTGATTACAACAAAATTCGGTGGAAGAAGTGCTGGTTTCTTCCCAGGATTCACCTCTTCCATTTATCCACCCAGGACATCTCTCAGGGCACACTGACAGCCCTCTCCACCGGAGGAGTTTTCCCTGCATCTGCCTACCAGCTGACATCAATAAATTACGTCTTCTTCCACCGAATTTTGTTGTAATCAGACAAATCCATCTTTCCGACCCACCAGACTATAAGCTACAGACAGCAACAGGCTTATTCTTATATGTTATATTTATGTTATAAAGTAACATAGTTTATGTAAAAATTAGAAGAGGAGGAGGAAGCAGAGAGGGAGAGAGAGAGGAGGAAGAGGGGAGGAGAAGGGGAAACGGTCTAATTATCAAATCAGCATACTTTAATTTTGAGCATGTTTCTTCTCATCTATGTTTCCAATGGGTGGTTTTCTTTTCCATAATTGAAATCATATATAATCTTCTACCCTACTTGTCATCAGCTGAGATTGTATAGAAAACATGTTTCTGGGTTATTCTTTCTTCAAAAGCGGGATTGTAATGGCTGTGTAACATCCCTCTGCAAAATGTACCATACTTTCTTGGCTCCTTTCCCAACATTTGGACATCTGTATAATCTTCCATTTTTACTCTTGCTCTTAAAAATAACCAAGTGCGCTGGAAAGTCTTCATTTTTCTCTCTAGAGGAATTGTCCATGCAGGGTCCATCTGGGTTTGTCAGAGGCCCCTTTGCCTCTGGCTTTGGTTGGAAGGAGCCAGTCAAATCAGAACTGAAGGTGTGGAAATGGGTCATGTCTTCCCATGGGCTGGCCACCCGGGGAATCAGGGAGTTGGAGGAGTCCTATGCAAGTGGCAAGTTGTAGAAACCAATTGCTCCTTGCCCTTGTGGGCCTTGAGGAGTACTAGCTCCTCTTTATCGCTGACCCGAGTCAGCTATCTCTGTGTCCCCTCTACACTCTGAGCTCACACTTGGTGAGTCAACATCCCACCACCTCCCAAAACAAAGCTACCAACTGAAGACAAAGCATTCAAAGACGTGAAGACGTGAGCCCGTGTAGGGATTTCACATTTCAAAGATCACAATGCCTAGCCTGGAAGAAATTGTCTGCGCTGGGTTTTTTGTTTTTGTTGTTGTTGTTGTTTTTGTTGTTGTTGTTTTGCTTTTCAAGCAGGGTTTCTCTGTAGTTTTTAAACCTGTCCTGGAACTACCTCTTATAGACCAGTCTGGCCTTGAAGTCACAGAAATCCACCTGTCTCTTTTTCCCAAGTGCTGGGATTAAAGGTGTGTGCCACCATCGCCTGGCATTTATGTTGTTTTTAATGCACCTATATGGCGACCCTTCTCATGAAGTCGGGAGTGGAATTTTCCACTTGTGGTTCCTATCAGCGCTCAAAAAGTTCCAGGGTATAGCACATTTAAGATTTGGGATGCTGAGGCCACAGATGCTTAACTGCAATTGATATATATGGTTATATTCAGCAGCTAATAGTTACTGAAGGCTTACTTTGTGCACTCTGGGTCTTTACACTTGCTACTTCCTCAAACCTCCACATATGTTCTGATTAATACGTATGCCCAACAACCACTGCACAATGTCTGAGTCTTTTTCCTGATGTCCAGCCCCATTCCAAGTCTTGCCTTTTGCCCAGTGAGACACGAGTTCTGACAGGATCTCATTTTATTGATGCTTCAAGTGTCAAGCAAAAACAGGGAACATTAGAATTCCTCTAGCTGGACAAACTGTTCTTGGGTATTCTGAGTTCACTTATTGTAAACACGAGGGGTGTGTGTGTGTGGGGGGGGGTCGTTGGATGCTACGAACGGCTTGGAGGAAGAGGGTCGAGAGTCATCGCTTGGAGAAAAAGAGAGTTTTAGAAAATAAGCACATAAAAGTTTCTTTGCAATTTCCATTTTAGAATAGAACGAAGAATGTCGGGGGCAGTGTGGTCAGTGTTATGGTCTGTAGGCACGTGTCTCCTGGGAGAGGTTGTACTGCCAGACAAACCTGGCGCCTTGGTGGTTTTGACACTGCTCCTCCTCCCAAATCCCTCTCTTCTAAATAGAGCATTCCTTCCTCCCCCATTCTAACCTTTGAGTTTTTCGAGCTCCAGCCTCACTTTCCTTGCTTTATTATTCCCGTCTTTCTCCAATTAGATGGACAGTAGCAAGCGGCACTCAGCTCTCTTGGGTTGGATCTGGCACGGAGGAAAATGGCTACTTTTGCGGAAGAGCCAGATGCTATTTTTGAGGCCTGTGGGTTTGCAGAGATTTTTATTTTCGCCAAGAGGCTGTGTTTTATGTATTATAGCCTTAGATTTCAGCTTGTTGCACTGGATAGCCAAGCCCTAGTTTTTAATTTCATGTTGCTTTGGCTAGTAATGATGAGTCTGGCACAGGAAACTGGATTCAGAGGCAATTCTTCCTTCCATTCCTGAAGAAAAAAAAAACCCTTCTTGTTCACTTTCAAAAAGAGCTAAAATTGAAGGAAGAAGATGAAAGGATGTGGGAGGAAAGGAATGACCCCATACCCCAGTCCCAGTGGGTGACTGCATCACCCATGGGTGTGGCCATCCAGATGTTCACTCCTCCAGATGTACAGACTTTCGCCAGCTCAGGACAGACCCACCTGTGCCGTGAAACCCTGATTTATTTGAGGTCAGGCAGCTTGCCTTCAAGTCACACTGTAAAGCCGACAGCCGTCTCTCCCTCAGCTGCTGGGTGTTCTGCAGGCGACTGTCAGGCTTGCAGATCATCCAGGCACAGGGGCTCCCAGAGGGAGAAGGGTCCACTTGTCCAAGGAAATGTCTGTAATACATGTTAAGTGGCCTGTGAGAGCACCGCCTCGTTTATTGGCTGAAACACGAAACGGAAAACATGTGCAGCAAGCACAGGGTCCCCACAGGCCCTGCTCCTTCCCAGGAAATGGAGTGATGAAGGATGGAGCAAACACGTGAACCCAGGCAGCCCACAGGCTTGGGTGTTTCACAATGCGAAAAGCATCTGTTGGGTGGAAATCCTGGGCACGAGGATTGGAATTTATAGAGACAGATTGACTTCCAGTCTCTTGCTGGGATTCCATTCCTGCTGCTAGGGGAATAGACTTTTCCATTAAGCAAGAAGGAATCCATCTCCACTCAGTTGTGCTTATTTAGGCATCGGATGCACACATACTGAATGTCCATGTCCATGTTGGGGGCTGAAACCAAAGATGAATAAGGCAGGGACCCCCGTAGTCAAGGAATTTACTCTGCGATGAGAAGAGGATGCTAGCAAAAAGTGGCAGAGCCTGGTGGAG